AAAAAAAAAAAAAAAAAAAAAAAAAAAAAAAAAAAAAAAAAACCGCACGTAACAGAGGAAAATATAATGTGTTTTGTAACTATTAAGGTGGGTCCGTGTCAAATTTAATGATTTCCAAAGAACTTAAATATTTTCTTTTATATTTTGTGCTGTTACTGTGCTGCAACATGGTGTATGTGTGACCAAATGTTGACCAAATTTCGTAGCCATTTCAAGCTATGTAGTCGATTTGTTTCTCCTCGAAAAAATTAAATGGGATTAAAGATTTTGAAGCACGCGATAGAAGTACGTGGTTTCGCGCTTTGGCCATCAATACTTCACCTCATAGCATCTTGTGAAAATGCATCTCGTAGACAAGTACACTCCTGGAGCAACGCAAATTATATATTGAATTTACATACAATTTAATATTTTGATATGATGATGGTGAAATTTATTTATTTTTGTTTCAAGGAATTCGTTGTAAATAAAGAAATTTCATCGAGGCTCGATAAAAGTTTGAACGTGTGTTGTGATGCTGGTAGCACGCCGCTTCTGTTTGGTTCTAATATTTAAACTCGCGGAGTCAGCATTTTTCAGCTCATGATTTTGAAAAGTTTGCACACTGTGCATGGATTAATCCCATTTAATTTGATGGAAAAAAACATGTAATAGAGCAAAACATAATGTGTTTTGTAACTATTAAGGTGGTTCCGTGTCAAATTTAATGATTTCCAAAGCACTTGAATATTTTATTTTATATTTTGTGCTGTTACTGTGCTGCAACATGGTGTATGCGCGACCAAATGCTCAATATTGGACAAACTTGACTCTAAAAGATCGATGTACAAATGGGCTAAAACCAAAGATTGCGGGTTTCTTGGTATATTTTCCTCTTTTATTCATTTTCGTTTAGTTTCCTTCAACACAACTACGGCTCATAGGGATTGATATCTATGCCATCGCTTTGAAAATGTTTTACAAATATTTGCCAAGTTTTAAAAATGTTCTTTGAATTAAGTACTTTTTTCATTTAAAAAAGGAAAAAAAAGAAAAAGAGAGGTATACATAAGGTTTATTTTGTGTTAAAAATGCTTAGGATAGAAATAAAACCAAATATTCACCAATGACGCAATTTGAAAGGATGAATCAATAGAAGGAACTAACTTTTCTATTAAAAAATGAATTACCGTAACAACACCTCAATCCCTCTCAATTTGCATTTCGATATTGGCAATATAATTTTACATTCGGACTAAAATATAACACTTGGACCACGTCAATGCTGCTTATTTTACAAGTGAACGTAAACTACTAGACAAAACAGGTGCGCAGACAAAAAATCGTTGACGGAATGTCCTGAAACCAACCGACCAGTTTGTTGAACAGACCAAATAATTCGGTCGTGTGTGCCGAACAAATCCTGGTTCCATATCATCCTAACAATTTCACTTCAGAACTTTTTTTTCAGTGATAAAATAAATATCGCGGGAGCTTTTGTGAACGCTGATGAAAAACCGAGATCTCAATCAAATTCACTGAAATAATTAGAAAATTTCAAAAACATTTCTGTCGCGAAATTGCATATTGATGGCGAAAATGCAAAACCACGTATCTTCGTTTGCGGCATCGCAGGCTTCCTGCCACATTTTATTTTTTATTTCTAAAACCAATCAACTTAATTTGTCGAAAAATTCCTTGGCTTTTCTTTTCTATGAGCAGAATATTTCGTGGGCATTTCAAGCAATGTAGTCGATTTGTTTTTCCTCGAAAAAATTAAATGGGATTAAATATTTTGAAGCACGCGATGATAGAGATACGTGGTTCCGCGCTTTAGCCATCGATACTTCACTTCATATCATCTTGCGAAAATGCTTCTCGTACACAGGTACACTTCTACAGCAACGCAAATGTTATATTAAATTTACGTACAATATAATGTTTTGATATGATGATGGTGTTGAATGATTTTCAAATATTTTTGTTTCAAGGAATTAGTTGAAAATAAAGAAATTTCATCGAGGCTTGTTAAAAGTTTGAACTTGTGTTGTGATGTTGAAATTCAGTTCCCTGTACTGCCGTGCTACGGAATAGGATGAAAACCGGCCTTTTTTACAAAATTGACTCATCGTTTTTAAAATCCTTGAGATACGAACTGCATCTACTTATTTCTGCAAAAAGGTGGTAAAAAAAGTACTGGGTCTACTTTATTTTCCAGGGAAAACGAGGCCAGAAAGTTCAACAATTTCAATTAGAGTTCGAAATGTTGGCTCTAATGGACATCATTACTAGACTGAATTAGAGAGTGTTCAGCGCAGGTAGATGCATTAGAAAATCCATTTCAATTAGAGTCTGACTCTAATTGAATTTTTTTAACTTTTTGACCTTGTTTTCTCCGAAAAGTAGTGTGGACCTAACACTACTTTACCACCTCGTTACATACAGTTCGGACCACGTTTTTGAGTGTTTTTTCATGCCCATTTTTTGCATTACCAACGTAACTCCTAACAAGTCATGTTCAAAATCCATTTCGGTAGGTAGGTAGCAAGGAAATCATGGATAATAAATAGGTATTGTTCCAAGTCTAAGTTGGGTTAAACTTTATGTTTTCCTAAGACCAGCGGTCCAATTATTGGTATTGATAGACAAAGCTATAGACAAATAAGATGAAAGAGTTATGGATGGATCCTATTGGTGGAAGCAAGTGGTTGTAATGAACAAAGGAGGTAGGTAATAGACTAACTAACGACAACTCACGAGAAACCCGATACTCCCGATAGTTGGTTCATGATTTTCTCCCTTGGTCCATAGGAACGATCCATTCCATCCAATAGGATACCTCCATACTCACTATGTCTCCTCTGTCTATCAATTTATATAATCAGCCCGCAGAAGGTATAATTAATCTGTTTTTCTCGGAGGTTGCAGGATTGGATAGTTGGGATGAAGCAACCAGACGTTGGTGGTGTACTGAGGTCGGTTGTAACTGTTCTTTCAAAGATAAAAGAGGATTGACCCTGCATCTAAAACATCATGAGATGAAACGTCAAGGTTTGCTTGATTGTCCGATATGCAAAATGACGTTGGCCAAACCTTCGAGTTTAAAACGACACATGGAAACACTGCATCCACATGGTGCAGCAGAGCAGCCGCATGTAGCAGGTAAATTCAAGTCAGCCGGTTCATGTCGGCTGGTTTCGTCATTCTAGGCTTTTTTAGCTTGCGAGCTTTCGCCGCATGTACCATTGTACCTAAAGGATTTTGAAGTCCAATTATTTTTCACTGTAGCTCCCAAAACTGTAATGAACCACTAGCAAAGTTCAGCTACAGAAAAAAGAATACTTGTTTCTTATAAAAATGGCTCAAAAATTAAGACGAGCGCATTAAGCAAGTATGAAATACACCATTCACTTCACAATTCCTTCTACATTCGTCTAAACTCTTTTAGATTAAACAACTGAAATTGCTAAATCAGCGGAACTCTTCTCAATCGTATCAAAACGAGACTTATGAGAAAGCCGTAAGTGCGCAACAAATGACGTGATTTTAGGCAAGATAGCAGTAAGTGACAATATTCCTCCAGAGAGTCAATGGAAACAGTACTTTCAAGTAATGTGCCACCCTCTTCTGCAAATTCCTAACCCAAAAATGCGTTTGTCGTGTGTCCAAAACGCAACCACGAAAGCATGTAGGATATAGCACTATACGGCTTTCTTGCCTCACAATAACCTAGCATGCAAATAGAAAATATTCTTTTTATGTGATGGAAATAAGATCAGTCAATTTTTAATTATCCATACGATTCCTAGGAGCCTTTCGGATGATTAGTGGCAATTTGACAAAAGAGGGAAGATTCTTTCGGTAAAATTTTCCGGTCAGAAGCTTCTGAGCCCGTTTTTTCAAAACTTCATTTTTGCACTCACTGCTCTCTTCGCTATCACGGTTGCTTAATTCCGTATTTCGTTACTGTTGATATTCTGTTGAATTGTTAGATGAAGAAGAAGAAGAAGAACCCCCAAGCACCTCTCCAGGACGTGGAGGCTCCTCAAGTTCCCGCCGAGGCAGAGGGAAAAAAGGGGAATCAGGTATGTAGGTTTTTAAGTGCTTAACTCATAGCGACCGCATTTTGCTTTCAACCTACCATTAGCTTAATTGCAATGAAGCTCTTGCATGTGTGGGGAATTTGCGATTCAACCTCTTTTTTTTTTCGTAAAATTCTGCGAGAAACACGATGGGGCCACTATTTCCTCTGATTCAAACTCCAAAACTGAAAAAAAGTTCTCAAAGTTGAGGCCGTAACAAACTGATTTAATAACTACGTCATTCGATATAACAAGGGACTCTTGGTTCAAACCAAAACTAACTAACATAACCTAATGTGTGAATTCTTCAGGAATTCTTTAAAATTTAGTCACTGACCGGTCATAAATCAACACTAAAGACTCGTTAATTACGAGAACTTTTGATTGTAAGAAACACTTAGACTTATTTTACCTCAATGGTGCAAAAAGCCCGAATTTATGACTAGAACTGCGTATTTTCATGTTTATTTCGTCACATTTTAAATTTTAAGGGGTGCAAGAAGAAGAAAATTTTACGGAAAAACCAAGAGAGCCACTCTTAAAACCTCAAAATTTTGTATAAACAGCATTATAAGCTTTTAAAGTTTCCAAATTTTGTCCGACCTCTCCCATTGACTCGATCCATTGTGCACCGTACCTAAGTCTGTTAGGGACCCCCCCCCCCNTCCCTCCCTAAGGGCATTGCGTAATTCATGGACGGCCCCTAACTGCCTGCTTAACTAGTTTGTTTTAATGCACATATTGACACTGTACTCTTGAAATTCATGAATTCTCCTCAACGGTGGAAAATTGATCATGGTTTCGACCCGAATCGAGTTTTTTCGCTCTCCTCGAAAATAATGACTTTTCACTTCGAGTCCCTTTCTCCGAAGCCCGATCAGAAATAATGGAAGTTGCGTATTGTTCAGCGGTTGATCGTATGGACTTGTCTGATCGCTTCATGCAAGGACGCTGGTGGTGTTACGAGGAGGGTTGTACTAAAAATTTCAAGCATCAAAAAGATCTCCGAAGGCACTTGCGAGACCAGGAGAGAGTTCGTCGAGGTGAAACCAAGTGTCCCATCGCTGGATGTAACGCAGTCTTCTCTACACAAGGGACTTTGCAGCGTCATGTAGATGAGCAGCACCCACCACCAGGTGAGTTTGGACCTCTAGGAGTAACGGGCTTGTTGCAAACTTTTGCTAGAGGCTGGAGCAAAAATAAGAGTTGTTCCCTCTAGATAATATCTCAAAAATCTCGATGAGCGCATCTGCAAACTCTGAAATGCACCGCTCCTAACTTTACAATCTGCGTAGGAAATTTCCGTTTATTTAAGCTTCCAGCCCCAAAAAAGATACTACGGCACAGACGAACATTCCGTTAGAGGAGCCGTTCCATTCGATTCCTGCTCAACATGGCCGACGCTCCCGCGCACAAGTTGAGGAGAGCACGAGGTCAATCAAGGCGGATATCTATCAATGCGAGAAACATCTGAATTTAAACATGGCGATTGTTATCAGGTGGTTTGAATCATCGTCCCGTCACATGTGTTTTGGCGGATTGGCGTCGGCTATGTTGAATATTGCGTAGTATCCTTGTGAGTAGGGGTTGGATGAAATAACTCCTCTAACGAAATGTTCACCTGTGCCGAATGTCACTCGCTACGCGAGTGTACGGAGGCCCAGGGGGCGCAGCCCTCTGGCTAGCTGTGAAGCGCGAAGTGCGCCCAGAACGGCTAGTGCTATATAATTCTGGTTATTTTCACTAAATAGTATCACTGCCTGAAAAATCAAGTAGGCTTTTAGTAGATGTTACCATACTTTTTTTCGGTGCATTTATATTCTGTTATTATGTTAGGTGAGGAACCAGGCGGTAGGCGCAAAGGCAAAGGTAGCAGCAGTCAAGCGGTTGATCGTGATCCAGGTAAGTTTATGCTGCCGTGCTAAGGAAGAACGTCGTATGAGGATTCTGCTGTTGTCACATTTTCTCCGAACAAATATTTATTTTTGAGAGAGATTATGCATATTTTTTCTTGAAAATTTCAGATGTTTTAGATTAAACTGTGCAAAAAATTTCATAAAAATGGAAGGATAAATGTTCAGAATTTCCTGAGATAATTCGTTTCTTATTGAAGAACATATGACAAGTCTCTGACTGAAAACTGAAGTCTCATACGGTGTTTTTCCTCAGCATGGAAGTATTCTAAAATGGATATCTACGGTCAAAGTGCCAACATACGTACATGTCGATGCGCAAAATCTCTCGTCACATTTAGGTTTTTAGATGGGACGCCTCATCATGATTTATGAACAAAATTCTGTCCCATTATGCTTGCTTTTTTCAATATTCCCGGAAAATTTTCTACAAATTTCGGACAATATTCCTTTGTAACGTAAAACAAGACGACGGGTCCAACGTTATAAGACGTTGGAAATCGCTCACCGTAATACCTCGTCAATATGTAAAAGTTGTTTTCCGCGGACGGAAGAGAGCGCTGCAAGACGCTGTTGAACAAGACAAGGAGCGTAACCTAGGAAACATACATAATTATTATATACAAGAAATGTCTTGTCATCATAGAGTAAAATATAGGGGTCATTAGTGAAGGGGTACTTTGTATCCAAAGATTTTTTTAGAACTCCGGCGACTAGAAATTTGAATGGTCCTTGAAAAAGTCATTACATGAAAGTACGTTCAGGGCCGGATTTACTTACTTGCCACCCATGGTCCGCCTGTATTTTGCCGCCCCCTTGTTATTTGTTCATTCGTTTTGAAACATCAATAAAAACCATCAAGTGAACGTGCTAGCGGGGGTGGGGTGCATAACACGTGTTTACTCGAGTTGGAAACATTTTTTTGGGAAAGCCCTGTCAACACTACTAGCAAAAATGTACCGAACTTCGCGCGAACGTCAAGTTTTGTTAACCTATCTCTGTATGGACAAGGCCTTCCATTTATAAGAAATGAACCAAAAAATTATGAAAGGACAAACATAAATGTGGTTTAATAATTTTGACTTCCGCCGCCGCGCCGCGCTGACGGCACTGTGTTTGGCGCAATGCGTGAAGTATTCCTACAGTTTTACATACGCTATGCATCTTGGGCCGACCGCTGCTGCACGCACTGTGTTTGACGCAATGCGTTAAGTATTCATGCAGTCTTGTAGGCGCTATGCGTTTCACGCTGCCCGCTGCTGACCGCAGCGACCGCATTGTCTTTGGCGCAATGCGTGAAGTATTCATGCAGTCTTGTAGGCGCTAAAATGTGTTACATGCCGACTGCCGCGCCGAGAGTTTCTCCCTTTCATCTCACGTTCGCTCGTCATCATTGCTCTCTTTGCCGCGCCGTTCCAGGCCAAATTCCATGTTCGGTTTCTCTCTTAGTCTTAACTCGACTAATTAAAGGTGCTGTCTATTGTATCACAGATGGACGACAAAATTAGAGATATACTCTCAAGAAATGAGAGAATTTGTCACCTTTTCTAGCTCGTAATTTTTTTTTTCTGAATCCGATTTTTCTTTATAGCTACATTTTAAAAAATTGCAAAATTTGCCGCTCCCTAAATTTGCTGCCATGGGCCGCAGCCCATGTGGCTACCCCCTTAATCCGGCCCTGAGTACGTTGTAAAACGCCCCTGGACGAATTCTGCATTTTTGCGGCTGTAAATTACGATGGCACGTTTTCTTTTTCTAAAACTGAAGTAGAGCTGTAAAATGGATTTTATGTTTTATTGAGAAGATGACGAAGGCGTGGAAGGAGGCAGGTACGAGTGCGATAGACCCGGGTGCACGAAGGCTTATGCCACTAAAGAAAAGCTCCGAAAGCACATCAGAAATCACGAGGCGGTCGATGAAGGTAGAACAATCTGCTCCACTTGCAAGAAATCATTTTCCTCAAGGTCAGTCAAGAGGCGCCACCAAGCATCAGCAGGACACGTCCAAAGTGAGTGTACTTCAGATACGCGTTTCAAACTTGCACAGTCGTGTACACTGCCGTGCTAAGGAAGAACGCCGCATGAACATTCGAGGGTTGCCAAATTTATATTGATAAAATGTTTATGTTTAAGGAAATTTATGAATGTTTTTCCTTGAATTTTTCAGGAACTTTAGGTGTCATTATGAACAAAATTAACTAAAAAATTGGAAGGAAAATGTTCATCAGTTTACCAGGAAATTTGTGTTTTATCAAAGGGAATTTGGCAACGCATGCAGGTTCATACGACGTTTTTCCGTAGCTCGGCAGTACAACAATGCTACCTTGCGAAGGAAGGAAGCCGTATGAATATTCGAGAGGTGCCAAATTTTCTTCGATAAAATGTTTATTTTTGAAGAAAGTTGTGAATGTTGTCCCTTGAAATTTTCAGGAACTATAGATAGAATTGCGAACAAAATAATCTAAGAAATTGGAAGGGAAATATTCATAAGTTGACGAGAAAATACGCGTTTTATCAGAGAAAATAAAGCAATATCTGAAGGCTCACACGAAGGTTTTCCACAGCACGGCAGAACAATGGTGCCGTGCCTAAGAAAAATGCCGGATGAACCTTCGTCAGTTGCCGTATTTCCTGTTACTAAATACGAATTTTCAGAAAAACTGGTGGATGTTTTCCGTTCATTTTTTCAGAGAATTTTCTTTGTATTTAGATATAAATTATCTGAAAAAATAAAAGAAAAAGATTAATAACTCTCTTCCAAAATAAATATTTCATTGGAGAAAATGTGGCAACCCTCAAATGTTCTTACGCGGCCTCTTTCCGAAGCACGGCGGAATGGGCCACTAAATCTTGTGCTTTTTATTCAATATTCTGGAAATACCAGCGGGCTGATTATTGAAATTGATAGACAAAGCGATAGACAAAGAAGACATAGGGAGTATAGAGCGATCCTATTGGCTGAAATTCATGGTTTCTATAGACTATGGGAGAAAATGATCGACTGACTATAGGGTCTCTCGTGCGTTGTAAGTTAGTCTATTTTCCTACCTCCCTTGTCTATTGCAACCTTTCGCTTCCGCCAATAGGATCCCTCAATATCCTTCTCGTCTTCTTAGTCTAGGTATAGCTTTGTCTATCAATTTCAATAATCGACCCGCAGTTGCGTAGATTACGTGGTGATTTATTATGCGTATTTTGGAGCAAAAATCTTGGACATGCCCGCTTTTAACAAGCTGGAAGCCTCGAAGGAATTTAAATCATGCCAAAATCGCGTGAAAATCCTGGCAGTGAAGTACCTACTGCGGCAGTCAAATCACCATCCTATCTCATTTTCCGCTGCTGTATGCTACTTTATTTCAATGGGAAATTGTTGATTGTTTACCATCGATAACATGAATCAGAACTTCATTTTTGCATTTACTGCTCTCTTCGCATCACATCAGCCATGCTATCCTGTTCCCAAATACTTTCACGTTCTGTCTTCTCTTTTTCAAGCACCATCACCACCGAGAGAACCAAAACAATTCCAATGCCCTTTATGCGACAGAAGTTATGACAGACAAAATACTCTGAATGATCACTTGAAATCCCACGAAGGAAAAGCTGATTGCCCTTATTGCCCCAAAAGTTACAGAAGACCGGAAGGAATGCACGAACATGTAAGAAAACAACACCCCGACAAGCCCGACCCAAGGGATAAACACAATCCAAATTAAAAACCACCAATATCATTTCCTAAGGAACACTGTGATAACCATGATGGGTATGTTGTGCTGGACAGAATCGTGTTTTGATGCTGATGTAGCCTGGCTAAAAATAATTGGATCTGTACGAACGGCAGCTTTCTACGTTCAATATTACCTGAGAAATTGTATTTTGAAAAGTCGCGTTTTTGAAGTCATCTACCGTGGTAGTGAAACCCTTAGTTTCTTCCTCCCTGCTGTCATCCGAGTTTTATTTTACCGTCGATTTTCAAAATAACCAGTGCAATTGATGTTGTCTCTGGCAAATGTGCGTCAAACTGACCAATGAGAGCAAAGTGGAAGGAGCAGTTCTTATTCTTTTTAGCTAATCTACAAGAATCAAGCTCCTAAACACGATTCTATGACCGGCGCATAGCTTACCCATTTGACAGCATGTAAAAAGAGATAACAAGATCTAGGGATCCAGAGACTAAACGAGGAGAACATCTTGAAGCCTGCCTGAAAGCACTCTTCGCTAACCACTTATCCCCACAGATTGAGGGGCTTAAAGGACAAGGTGCATAAGTGCGGTTTTTGAAAAAATTGCGATATTAACGATTTCGAGTAGAACTAGTTCTAGTTCATATTCTGAGAAAAATTCGCTCTCAAATTCCGATTTTTAAGCATCAAAAAGTCAATTTGAACTTTCTTCCCGCCGCAAGAATCCATGTAATTTCGAAACTTTAAACACGTATTTCTTGAAATAGCACAAACTGCAGCACTTAATGCGCCTTGTGCTCCAAGTTCACTACTCTTTACTAAGTAATTACATATTTGCCAACTTAGAGAACAGTTTTCTATACTACGATTTTAATTACATTGACTGATAACATAAAAAATTCAAGCAGAAGATTATTACTTAGCTACAAATAACTAAAGAACATTCACTCCGATATCGATGGCCAAAGTGCAAAACCACGTATCTCCGTTTGCGAAGTTGCAGATTTTACGTCCTTCCTGCAAAATATTCTGCAAAATTTGAAGTTGTTTGATTTGCTCGTTTCTCGTCGAAAAAATGAAGCAGAAGCACAAATTTTGAACACCGCAATGAATATACGTCATTTCGCACTTAAATTATCGATGTGCTGAAGGTTCTTTGTAATATTTACTCTCCCATTCCTGTAGACACTTCTTTTTCGAAGCATTTATAATTCCACGACATCTTTTATAACTGTGGGCTTTGGTGGTTACGTGTTATATCTGGTTACTACTATATACTGTATAGCATCATAATTACTCGTTATTTGGTTAAAAGAAATTGTTGATGTTCTCCTTCATTAAATTTCCTTCATTTAGGCGCATTTGTTGTGTTTGAATTGTCTATTTTCTGTCTTGGCTAATGTATTTACATTCCTTCCCTTTCTTTTATTATTATTTGGCATTTTTTCGGCAATAAAATTATCTTCTTCACTATTAACAGATTTTTATTCCGTGTCCAACATAAGGTGAAGGTTTAATTTCCTGCTTTTCACATTTTGAGAGACCCACCTTTATTTTAAACTTCCGAGTCAATCCGGCATAGGTATGATTAGTTTAAATTGTCATATTTGCGCACAAATTCGCTACTTTTTGGAAAAATTGTTGAAGAGCACCAGCTCGGGCGGCGTGCAGCTGGCAAATTTTTTCAGTCACAATGGATTAGACCTAGGCCGACAAAAACCAATTTTCAGCTTGACGACGGCAAAAAATTGTAAGTATGTAGGGGGAAAATTGTTTAACAAGAATTTCTTGGAAAAATAAATTAATTTATTGTTTATTAATAATCCACACTATATTTTACGCAATAGCCACGATTGTTTAATTCACAGAATCTCACCACATTTAATTACAAAATTGAAAGCAATGTCTTCTCCAAACTCTCAGACTGCCAGTTTCGTTGGCGGAGGCGAATCTGTATAGCAGATGAGGAAGTTAGCTGCGATAGGATTCCCAATATCATACTTCTCGGCAAACCTTTCGGAATTGAATTTCGGTCGGACAGGGCTAAACACAGAAAATATTGAGTTAAAAAAGCTGCAATTAAGAACCCATTAAAGGGCAACAGAACATAATTAGGATCTGAGGTAAATAGTTGACAAAAAGTCATATCAGTCATGATGAGTGAAAGAATTGCATCAAGGTGTTATAAAATTAATTAAAATAATTAATTAATAAACATGAATCTGATAATAGTCAGTATTCCTCAGATTTAATAAAATTAGTAGTAATGACGAGTGTCTTTAAAAAATTCACGTTACTAGCTGAATAATAAAAAAAAAAAAATTAGTATTAATCTCACCTGTTTGCAAAAGCTTTTTCAGAGAAACTTATCGTGTGTCTCCAAGGCTGCTCATAAACCAAAAATACCATTCTATGATGACCTGTTTGGAAAATGAGCAGAATTAAAATAAGCAAATATTGTTGGCAAATAGTCCAGTGTCAGTGTTGTAGTTATTTGTCTGACCCTAGTTATGTAGCTTGGGAACAACTGTAAATGGAACAACTTCTTTAGAAGGAAGGGGATAGAAATTCATCTAAACGAACCAATCAAACTCTCACTATACTTCATTGGCAACGTTGAATATGTCTATTTCATGCTATCAAATCGGGAAAAGTTTTCCCATCAGTTTTTTTTCAGTCTCCTTCAGTAAAACTTTCCATGCAGGGGAGAATTTTGAAGAAAATCCATTTTTATATCTCAAAATATAAACCTACCGTATCCATAAGACGATCCAGGTCCTTGATAAGGCACTACCGTCTCTCCAGAAGTAATATTATATGCAGGTATATTAACCTGTATCCAGTGTACCCATTCACGTTCTGTATGATGTTCCTGCGTCGGAACATCAAGTCCTTAAAAAAAAACCGTAGCATATCACTATTGGCTTTGAGTTGCAACCAAGTTTGCAAACTGCTTATCTGCCTTCGATTAAAACAATGTTTTTCATAATATGACGACTAAACTTATTTGAATATGTTACGATGATTCTTAATGGGAATCTTACAAGAGATTTTGTCTTTGTAGCGCGGAGATAAACAAAAACAGCGTGTTAAAGTTCAGATGACATGAAAAAACTAGTGGCGTGGCGTGCTTTGCGATATATCGATTGATCTGTCATTTAAACCTATGGAAAAGGATCGATTAACAGGGTGTTTGCAGCGAACACCTTAATAATCGATTCTTTACCACGGATTCAAATGAGGAAATATCGATAATCGATTATTCACGCCACGTCACTGGAAAAAGCAAGAGGAGAAAAACGGGAATTATATGGCTAAAAATACGCAATTAAACACTGAAACGTTTCGGCCTGTATTGTGTATTTAATTTAACGAGATAAACGTACGAGGAGTAGACACATACTCACCTACAACGATTAATGTGTGGAAGGCGTCCTCTCGACATGTATAGTGTATTGAAGTGGGTTCTAATCCCAAATCCTCCGGAGTAAACTCATTACCTACTGTGACTGATTTATTCCCATACGTCATCTGGAAATCATTCAAAACAGAGTAACGAGGTATTATAAAACATTTGCACATGATGTAAATTTTCTGGCCGATTATGGACTTTGGTCCATAAAAGGATCCAAGTACATATTTGTCAATATAGAGTAGAGCATGTGGTCAGGAATTAAGGTAGGCTGTAAATTAGTAAATTCGCGTTACAATGCAAACATACTCGTGTAATTAGCTTGAATGTTTTACCCATATATGGACCGCGTTAAACAGAAAGGAACCAAGCCACATCAGCTATTGCCAAATTTGATCGGACAATTTAATTTTTTACATGAAAACGGTTGTGCGGATTTTTGTGCTTTCAGTGATTTCTCTCAATAATTTAATACAAAGCAAATTCCTTAAAATTTTCAAAGGAATCTGCATAGACGTTCTCTCGTAAAAAATGTAATTTCCCTGTGACATTTGGCAATGGCTGATGTGGCTTGGTTCCTTTCTGTTTACGGCGGTCCATATATTGATCGTAAACACAAATACAGTAAAATGTCCAATACTTCAATCAAAAGGCGATAACTTCATACCTCTCTTCTGCTTTAAAATAGTTCGAATGTAATTTCTGACTAATCAAATAAGATCAACATGCTACTTAAAAATGAATATAAAAAACAACATGTTTGGTCACCGTAATTTCCAAATTTTGTCAGATTTTGACTATATGTATAAAGCCGCTTTTATAGCGCTCTTTGGCGCTCTGCGACTCCTAGCCGCCAAAGTCCCCTATCCTCCCAAAGCCCTTCAGGGAGTTCGCAAACCCTCATTTCTTCTAAAACCCCCTGTCGCCACGCTTTCACTGGGCGTCCCCTCCGTCTCCTCCCAGGACGTTTTGACAGTACATCGTCAAAATACGTATCCTTTCGATTCGGCTTATTGAGTTATCAATATATCTCACAAGTTGACTAAGTCTTGTCCAATTAATACAAATCTGAAATGTATCGTAGCAATTTTACAAAGGTGCTCACGTTAAGTACATAATCTGGGCCAATCCTGAGCAGATCTGGAATAATTAGGTGCTTCCGGAGTGAATCCTGGAGGTTTGGGAGAGGTGTGCTAAGTAAGAGAGCATCCTGTTCCGTTGTTGGGGGTACGGTGACGCAAGTAACTAGCGTCCAAATTCCAAAAATCAAGGAGCTATCGTAAAGGTACATTCTTACTATCCACTCGAATATTTAGAATCAAAATGGCAACCATTCAATTAACTTAGGACGAGTGCCTTGAACACAGACGTCATAAGTTATTTTACATTTTTTCATCATTATATATGTATTTGGGTTTGGAACTGTTTCCTTGCAAAATTTTTCTCATTCTTAAAATTATGGATTCAATATTAATATCACCAATCGTATTCAAATGACGATAACTAGCCATGAGTCATTACTATTAGATATAAGGTTACTACCGAAAAGATTTGAAACATATTCATGGGACTTTACGTGTATATTATGTCTTTAATTTTACCTATTGTCCCTCCGAAATAGGAGAAAAACTTATTCTCGAATCTCAACCTCACTTTCGCCTAAAATACTCAGAATTTAAGACTATAAGTTAAAGGAAAATCGTACCAATTAAATAATTTTATGTCATAGTTGATGCCGTATGACTGAGCGAACACTTCATTTAGTATCAATTGCTCTGTGGAGCTACATTTATATTCTATTTTTGTAGTTCAAATTTAGTGTTGGTGATCGGACTTAAACTTTCAGGGTATGAAGCAAAATTTCCTGTATTGACTCAAAATCTTAACATTTATTATTTTTTAAAAAACTTGAGTCACTTTGTTTAATTTCAATTTTATCCGTGAGACCGTAGTTTAAAATTTAGTATCCTGCAAAGTTAGTGATGATTTCATAATGTAAAATCACTGACACTAATCATAATAAGGACGTATTTATGCGAAAAGGAGCTATGTGCTCGTGGAAAGATGGGGTGTGCTCGTTAGTGGTCGGGCCATAAGAATGAATGGGGAATATTGTGCGCCAGTGACGTCAGCGGAGACGAAGCCGCCGGCGCGACTCCTCCTCCGTCTTCTTTAACTCATGAGCCCTGTCCACAAGGCTCTCTTGCCATGCCCGCGGCTCATGAGTTAGCATATTTTTGGCGCTTAGCTCCTTTTGATTTAATTAAAAATCCCGCTTTTCAATTTTTTCAAAAGGAGCTATATCCACTTTTACATTGTTTCTTATGGCCCAACTAACGAGCACACCCCATCTTTCCACTTCCACATAGCTCCTTTTCGCATAAATACGTCCATAAGAATGTGATATGGAATTTTGATTTGCACTTGCCTGCCAGGTCACAACAGGGACGCAGAAAATTGCATTTAAAATACGTCATATTAAATGAAGTCATAAAGAATTCTCCTCCTACGAATCACTATAAATGAAGCACGTTACCGTCACAATGTTTGATTCTCGGTCGCATGTCAATCTACAAACCAAGAGGCAAGCAACGGTGATAGCATCTACGATATGTTATCTGGTTTTGATGCACATCAATAAAGTCGGTTGTCTAGACTCTACGATGGATTTGTGCATAAGTGCATCGCCTCTGAAAAGGTTTAGTCTCACAATCATAATATATTTATCTCTGTATACAGTGACGCTAACATTTACAAACCGCGAGGAGTACTAAGAAGAGAGTATCGAACTATTATACTGCGACTATATAGGGAGAGTGGAACTGCATTTAACCACGCTCGAGTTCAAAATTTATTTATAAAAAAATTTAGTGTTAGTGGAACGCGACGCGCAGGAAGAATGATGACGAGCCAGCGTTAGGCTGCTTCAATTAAAACAAGCACTGGCGTCGAAAGTCAAAAGAAGATGGGGAAAAAAACATTTTCACCGCGATCGATTCGTGCGAACATGACTAATAACTTACTCTTACGCTTGCGCACCGCTTGCGATTTCAGTGAGCAAATCGCCGCACCTGAAATCCACGCAGCGCTGTTTCGATGGCTCTGTTGAGCTCTTACATTATATTTCTGTGGTTTAAATTTAGTATAAGTGATCAGACTCAAACTTTTAGAATATGCAGCAAAATTTCCAGTCTTAATCAAAAATCTTAACTTTTATTATGTTTTAAAAAACTTGCATCACTTGGTTTAATTTCAACTTTATCCGTAAGATCGTGGTTTAGAATGAGGTATCCTGCGAAGTTATTGATGATTTCACAATGTAAAATTACTAACCCTTGTTCATAAGTGCATCGTTCCTGAAAATGTTCAGGAGTCTCACCAGCATAATATATTTATCTCTGTATGCAGTGACACTAACATTTACAAACCGTGCTCCTCGAAGATCAACGGGTGATATTCTTGACAGATTACAAGAAGCTGACATTGTGGATGACATAATTCAAAGAGCTCCTTATGAGCCATTAGAGGTAATTCTTCTTCCTATACTCGTACTTTATTCATGAGTGCAGGTGAGGTGGCTCCCCCAGAAATCTGGAGACCCCAGAAAAAGTCATGACCATACATAAGCCGCTAAGCCGCTCATTAAAGGTAAACCCCCAAAAGAGTCATTCGCACTCCCCCCTCCCCCATAATCAGCCTCTAGCAATGCACATAATGTTATCCAGGATTCCAGGAATTCGTTACTTTTTCTATAGGCGCAAAGAAGCGTGGTGAAACTCTCTTATCTCTTATTTTTTAGATTACCGGTTAAAGAGGAGTTATGCTTTGCTAGAGCAGCTGGACGCACTACATCTAATCGCTTTCTAAAAAATTTTAATTTTTTTTAAAAAATGGTCTTTCCGACAAGATTTTTAAATTCATTATTTTCATCACACATGAGCCTTCGTATTTTTTCTGCCTGCTCAATTCTGAGGGGACTTTTTTGTCCATGCCATGGTAAAAAACAGTATTGAATCAAATAATAATCTTTAAATCATTTCTATTATGATCTCAAAGAATTAATTTAAAAACTCAAGGACGATAGTATGAGGACCTGATTACACTTTTATTAGTGATTTTAACAGTAATATGAAAGTTGTTGCTCGGTGCTGCGATAAATTGTCAGTGCATTAAAATAATGTTTATCAACTGATACTGACAGGTTCATCATGAAAATTGGACCGTTGATTTCGGAAACGAATTACCCATACAAGCCTTTGACATGCAACCGCAGGTCAGGTGGCCCGCTCCAAATGGAACAATGTATACATTGGTTGTTGTAGGTAATTTCGTGTGCAATTTTTCTGCATGAATTTTAGGGTTGTACGTAGGGTATGTCTACGTTTCACATACGGCCAGAAGAGAAAAGTCTTAAATTTTTCTGGGGGAAAAAAAATGTGAGACAATTATCAAACGAAAAACCAACACTTCAGTCTTAGGTCATGGGGGGGGGGGGAGGAGCAAGCGGTGGAATGTCAAGTCCTTTGGAGGTCTATTTGTAAGATCACCGGTGCAAGACCTCTCTCTAGGTTATTGGGATCCATTTTGAACTTCATTTTGTTATTAGGAACTACAATATTTGGCTTATCCATAAAAACACTCATGTACATAGGGAAACTAATTTTATATGCGTTTTTTTTCTAAACTGACCCAAAGCTAGTAGATCCAAATTCCAAATGTAGTCCTATTCGTCCCTCAAGCCGGCGACATGGTCGAATCAAAAATAACCAAGAGAAAGCATAGACATACGTGATCTTTTGCCCTGGACAGCAATTGTACATATAATCATCCCTTCTAGTTTTGAGAGAATCTGAAAAAAATCGCCTATCAGTGCACAGCCACATTGCAACAGACAAAACCTATATACCCATTGGGGAGGAGGTGGGCTGTTTATACCTTAAGTACCTGATTAGGACATGAGTACCTGCTCATTTAACATGGGTGGCGTATTATGCGTATTTTAAAAACCTAACCTCAGCGAGTAAGTGCATACATATTTGGCATTACTTTTAATTTGTAATAGGACCAGACGTACCCCACAGAGACAAGCCCGAACAGAGAGATTGGCTTCACTGGCTTTTGGGGAATTTACACAATAACGACACAACGAGTGGTGAATCACGCGCGGATTATATTGGAATAGAGAGACCTTTATATCAACCTGGTAAGTACAGCATGAATCTGCAACGGCTAACTCGAATAAAAAAAACCTCGCAAGAAAGTGACAGGTCAGTTTCAGTTATAGTTTGTTTGAAACGCTCAAACCTTTTGATGATATGATTTCTTTGTCGACGGCATTGGCGTTTCCTCACGTTGATACTAATGATTAAAGCTGGTCATGCGTCTGACATGGTGCTTTTGGGATTAAAAACGTTGTAGAAAATATTCTCTGATGCATTTCGTTCTCCAAAAAAAAAAGTGGAAAGTTTTCCCTATTTTTGCTAAAGACATGTCCGTTTATTTGCCATTATGTGATATGCGTTTGCACGGTGCATGGATGAACAATGAGTGGATGACAATTATAGACTGTAGAATAAAGTGAGAGATATCCTTATTGATTTCCTCTTGAATATTGAAGTATACGAGATCTAACAGTTTGTTTAATTATTTTGATAAGTTAAAAGTTGTTATTTTATTCAGATTTCTAATGTATGTGATTTAATTTTATTTTCAATAACTGTTTCTATTTGGCTTTTATGTGATAGGAACGCATCGAATCGTTTACCTTTTATACAAGCACCAGGATAATCAAGAGGTGTTTTTCTTTGCCTCAGTTATCAAAGAACGGTGAGAATTTTACATATTATAGGTCTCTTTCTGCTAAGGTTTCAGGACATTTTATCAACGATTTTTTGTCTGCGCACTTTTTTTGTCCAGTAGTTTACGCCCACACGTAAAATAAGCAACAGTGACTTGGTCTAAGCGTTATATTTTAGTCGGTATGTGAAATTATATTGACAATATGGAAATGAGAAATTGAGAAAAAACGAGGTGTTGTTATGGTTGCTCATTTCCTAAATGAAATGTTATTACTTTCTCCTTTTGAATCATCTTTTTAAATTTTCATTGGTGAATATTCGGTTTTATTTCTATCCTTAAAATATTCGATGTACAATATACCTTATATACGTATAGGTACTTTTTTTTATTTTTTTAATTTTTTCTTTACGAAATTATTACTTCATTTTGAAAACAATTATATTTTTAAAACGTGACAAATATTTGCAAAATCTTTTCCAAGCGACATGAATCTCAATGAGCCGACAGAAACTGCGAAAATGAATAAAAGAGGGGAAAAAACCAAGAAGCTCGCAATATTTAGTTTTAATCCATTTGTATATCGATATTTTAGAGTCAAATACGTCAAATTTTGAGAGTTTCGTTGCGCTTACACCTCACTGCAGCACAATAAAAGCACAAAATGTAAAAGAAAAAATTAAAGTGCTTTGGAAATCATTCAATTTGACACGGAACCACCAACAAATTTTTAAAAAACACACATTATATTATTATTCTCCTTTGATAAATTGATACATATTTTTCCCATCAATTTAAATGAGAATGATCAATGCAGAGTGTGCAAACATTTCAAAATCATGAGTTAAAAAACGCTGACTACGCGAGTAGAAATATTAAAGCCTAACAGAGCGGAGCGGCGCGGCGCGGCGTGCTGCCAGCGCGAGAGGCCCACTGGCGCCTACAAACCTAAGTGGATACTTCACGCATTGCACAATGCTTGAAGTATCCACTTAGGTTTGTAGGCGCCAATGCGCGTTTTGCGCTGGCCGCCCGCCCGCCGTGCGGCGGCGGCGCCTGAAGCAACTATTTCACAACAGAGGTGTTGCACAGCATTATACGAAATTGAACGTATTAAGAATGACAGGCATCCTTTAAAAGTACAGATCTTCCCGCGCAAAATAAATCAAGATACTTATCGTATACAGGAAAAATCTAAGAGCCTGTAGCTGAGGCAAATATAGAATTATAGAGGTTTATCCGGTTCAGGTATAACAAGGTGGGAATTTCTTGAAAGATAATTAAGTCCTGTTACACCAAAGAAGTGTAGAGAGTTTTAGTGAATTTTGTCTCATGGAATTGACGCTCCCCCATGTTTACCAAAACTCTCAACTATATATTATTTTCCGTTGGACCAAACAGACGAAACAAAAAAAACAAGGAAACCCTCATTCTTCCCAGACATTATACATTTTCATCCAAGAACTTCGTGAGCAAATGTCGTCTGTATTTACATGTGGGCCAATTAACTTTGGGTCTCAACTGGCTCGTGGACCAAAACTCCCGTGCCGAAAAAACGCGTGGACGTAAATTACTGGAAAAAACAGGTGCGTGGACAAAACATCGTTGACGAAATGTCCTATAACCTCTTCCAAAGATCTGCGTTATTTTAACGGATTTGAAAACTTCAGAGGGCTTTCGGATAAAATGGACTCACGAGGGAAAAAGTCGGGCCCGTATTTTTTCTTTATCACAAATTTTATATCTGACTTAAGAGATAAATAATTCCCTCGATCAGTAATTTTTAAATTGATTTTTTTCTCTTTTCGTTTATAGAGAAGATTTTTTCGATCGATCATTCTTCACATGTAATCTTCTGAGTAGAGAGCACAACTTTAAAAACCCACTTGTAAATTTTGCTTTAGTCACCGTCGGTTAATATAGGACGGTAAGTGAAGTCCTTTTCTGTCAATAGCTGAAATTGAAGAAGAGAGAAAAATCAAATTCAAGGGGGTCAAAAATAAGCCTATCATCAAGCATTCACACTACTTTCTCCCATTATCCCATGATTTCTTGAAACTATTGGTGCAATAATTATATAATATGCGATTTTCTCCAGAAATTCCACGAAAATAAATTTCAAAAAGGTAGGATGTAATGATGTTATAAAAACATTGTATTTTATGCCCAGGCAATAGGCACAGGCGAACTAAATTCTGAACTACTTTTCGAATCAAACACACATAAATAAGTATGGTACGATTAATTTTCAATAAAACATAAGTGGGTATGGCACTACTTATTTTCGAGTGAAACGTGTTAGAAAAGAAATTTCAAACCAGCATCACTCTCTTTTCTTTAAGAAGCCCAACTCGATTAGTTTTCTATAAATCTCATCACGTAAAATTGAGTTTCCAGTTGTTTTGTTTTCTCTCTTTCCAGAAAGACCATGTACAAACGGTCATTTTTTTCACCAATTTTCTTCGCTCGACTGCACGAGCTTATTCACCCAGAAGCTGTAAATTTCTGCTATGTCGTGGTTCCGTGAATTCCTCGGTCAATCAAAGATGTGGTGTGATTTTAGCGGTCAATGCGTCGCTACTCTGTCGTAAGGGGTATCCAGTGGCGTGGCTTGCTTTGCGATCTATCGATATTTCCCCATTTGAAGTTGTGGTAAATAATCGATTATTAAGGTGTTCGTTGCAAACATCCTGTTTATCGATACTTTTCCATAGGTTTAAATGACCGCGATCAACCGATATATTGCAAAGCACACCACGCCACTGGACGCATCTCAATTTCTACGTGAGCCCTGGAACACATAAAGTCTTACGGAGAGCAGGGCTCTCGTTGAAATTGAGATACGCCCTTAAGCCCGAGGAGTAACGAATTTTGTGATATTAGTTTTTACAATAAAACTACACTAATCTGGTGTAAAGGTATTTCTTCTAGTCTTTTATTTCCCATCTGTGCATTTCCTACCAAAAACACACAGCAGTATTGGAGACCCTTCAAATGCCTCGATACACACGGAGAAAAAAATTTCGTGTATGGGACCCGAAGTTTAGTTCGTACGGATCTCTGACGTTGGTTTTATTCGAACACTCACATTTAAGTAGAACAGTAATCCTTTCCATTTGCTAAAATTGCCGTGGCATAAAAAATATAACAACGGTGTAAGTCGGCAATCACGTAACGCTCGATCGCGGTGTCTGAAAATTTTTGCCTCTAGGCTATTTTTTTAAAGGAGAACAAATTGACATCATTCCTTGAAGTTTTTGCAGAATTTTCTTCGCATAGAGAAGAAAAATCACTGCAGTTTTAAAGAATAGCCGTTGAGTAGTTTTCCGTTTAAAAAATAAAGTATGATCGGAAGTTTGGCAATAAAAAAGAGTAGAATTTTAGAGGTGGGGGGGGGGGCTTAATTTCTCCAGCCCCCCTCCTGCGTTTTAATTTTACGTACTTTACATGATGGGTACAAAACTTTTTCTTTGCAGTAAATTTGGGCACAAAACTAGTATAAAACGTTGTCGATCTTGAATTTTAATTTTGAGGAGGTGGGGGGTCTGGAGAAATGGACCTGAAGTATGCGATGCGACGTCGCAAATCGAGTTATGTGATTGCCGATTTACACCGTCGATAAAATGAGCGAAACAACACAGGTCCATTATACCTCAGGTTTCTCAAAATTTTATCTATTCACGAACGTCACTTCCCACTGATGAGACTCGGTAGGGAAACTAATGAGTAACAAATTAGATCGCGCTATGTTGCGATTGCCAGGCGTGTCTCTTGCATTTAGAAAATTTGTTAGTGGTTCGTACTTTCTCGTGATAACGTTGGGAGGTCTATGGGCTACATATGTCGAAATAAATGGGTCCAGAATAATACATTCAACCGAATACACATTCTCACGAAGCATACATACATCTGTTGGATTCACAGACGCTCCGCCGGTTTTTCGAAATCACAGCGATATCAAATGGGGAACTTCGGAATTTCCAAATGTCATCGAGGAGCGCGCCTCAACGGTAAAAAAATTAAACGTCAGCACGGAGAAGCCTTTAGATCTCAACCTCACGATTTTGGATAATCCCGATTCAGAAAAAGCATACCGTGTTAATACGTCGGCTCTTTTTGGAAACTTCAATGAAACCGGAGGTGCCCGTGGAAACCTGTCGGAATCAGAGAAAATTTATGAATCTCTATGCAGTCATAAAATTATTCCGGATGTTCTGCAATCTAATTTAACGACGACGTCTTTGAAGTGTTTGCAGGTAACTAAAAAGTCTGTTAATAAAGCATGAACTTGCTGATGAGAACAGGTCAGTTTGAGCATATTCAAACTGATTGTGAGTCGTATCTTCACTTATAAACCCGGTCAGTGGTTGTCTGTTCGCACGGCGCCGCTGGATGCTTTTAAATAGTTCGTTGAGAAAATTGGGGCTTGGTGCATCATGTTTGAGAAGATACAAAGGCAGAGACAATAATTTATACTTAACTAATAATTCCTACAAGAAAACTATAGGCACCACGCTGTAGAGTGTCAAATCCGTAAGGCAAATATTCATTTAGCAATACGACATGCAGTAGATTGCGAAAAATGATGTACCTATTCATTGCGAATCGTCTCTGTCGGTGGCGAGGCGTGAATGATCGATTTATCAATCTCCCCATTTGAAGTAATGGTAGAAAATCGATTAGTAAGGTGTTCGTTGCGAACACCCTGTTTATCGATCCTTTTCTAAAGGTTTATATGACATATCAATTGATAGATCGCAAAGCACAACACACCATTGGTCTTTGTTTACCAAGGTGTCTCAGTAGGTAGTGCTTGATGATTTTTTGCATTTAAAGTGATTTAGCTCATTTTTTTTTTTTTATTTAGACACAACAAAAGTAAATCCAAGCCAATAGTGAAACTACAAAACTGCTTACATCTGGGTTTGCGACATTCACATTTTCAAGTAATGAATAATCAACATCATGCACATATTTTTGCACGTGATTTATGTGTCTCCTTACAGTTCTTAAAATTTTGCATTAAACACCTTTCCCCTCTATAAATAAACGATAAGCGGAAATGAGGAAACCTTCAAGCCATATGTGTAGTTGCGTTCTTTCGTAGCTTTAATGCTCATATTTCTTCGTCATCTTTATCAGGTCAAGTATGGTACAGAGGCTGTGAAGTATGGAACAGAGCTGTATTCTTTGCAGATAGAAAATGAGCCTGTGGTAGTGTTCAGAGGAGAAAGACAGACGTATTATACTTTAATTGCTATTGGTAAGGATATAATTGTTTTTTTACATTGGTGTGTTCTGAACTTATCATTTCCATTGCTATCATCAAACCCGAATGAAGGACATCTCATGCAATTCATTGGGAAGTTAGAATTTTGATTTGTTTCACTATATGAACAACATTTTTCGTAGAAGCATTAAACATGTTCACCATATTCAGGATATTTTTTCGGGGATTTCTCCCAGAACATTTTTGAATTTATGGAGCATGTAATAAGCAGTTAGGGCCAATTTCGTAGTGAAAAATTACCATATGTAAGCGTCTTTCCGTCCTTTATCGATCAGTCCTGTCTCCTTTTTTCCTTCTCTTTTCCTTACTTCTTTTTCGGGAGAACGGAGGTGGGGGAGGGGGGTACACTCCTCCGCCATCTTTGGATCCGCCTTTGTAGACCACGTCCGGAGATATTCATGATTTCTACTCTTGCATCATTTTTAAGTTCAAAACCGGTCTGATAATAAATTTAGTAATTATAGATCTTATAAAGACTTTGTAAAATCCTATTATGGGGAATCTCGATGTTGCCATGCACAAGATAAAATCGTTACACTATATTCCAGTTTTTACCGATTTATATTGAGGGGTGTAAAGATAGATTAATCAGGACATGAACATTTTTTCAGGTCCAGATATGCCATCCTACACGGAGCACGACGAACGAAACTGGTTGCATTGGTGCGTTGGAAACATACCAGAAGGAAACGTTTCTCGTGGTCAAGTTATGACCCCATACTGTGGCCTCACGCTTGGTTATGAGCTAGGCAAGTTGCAGACTTTAATATTATAAATATATTGTTCACATTTAAAAATCGGAATTATTATGGCCCCCTGCTTGTTATGCGAGGAGTCAACCGAATTGAGAATTTGTTGAAGATAAACTAAATTTCTATTTACAGAGGCCTCTGGGACGATTTAAATGATAGCTTAATTATAGAATCGTGACAAGCACGTCCCCCTCCCTCCCATCTGCTAAACTAGAAACATATCTACCATTCACTGTGAATAAACGATAAGTTCACTAGAACTTGTAATGACATCGAAATCCTTCTTTTTCAGTGTTTTAAACTACGATTGTTACTCATCATGTGAATAATTTGCAGGTCCTCATAGAATAGTATTCTTACTCTATAAGCAGCCCAAGAGAAAAAGACTGAACTTTGAGGAGTCGGAATTTTCTGACAGGTAGGTAGATTACATACAAAGTAAAAGCATGCTATATACAATACTGTTTCACCCGAATACTGTTTTTTTCTAGGAAAGGAAAACCATTTTTTCTTGTCCTTGACATTAGGCAACAACAAATGTCCATATAATTAAAGGAAAAAAATCTGAAATTATATATTACATTGAAAATTACATGCCGAAGTAGGGTCCCTTTTCAGCAATCCGACTTGCATACAGAAAAGAAGCAGTTAGCGTAATTGTGGTGAAACAATTAAACTGAAACTATGCTTAACTGGTTCTAAATAAGGCTTCCAAAGAGCATTTACGAACTCCAGGTTGTGTACTCAGGGATTTTCCCTTTAATTCAACTCTATCGGAATGTTTCCTCCTGAAAGTAGCTCAGAGGACAAGGCACACAAGGGTAGCTCTTGCGGTTTCATGAAATACGCGTTTCAATTTTAAAAATTTCATGGAGCTTTAAGCCAAAAAGAAAGTTCTAAGACACTTTTTGAAGCATAAAAGTTGACTTTTAGTAGTGAATTTTTTTCAGAACATACTTTAAGATTAGTTGAAATTGCAATTATTTAAATCTCATTTTTTTCAAAAACCTCATTCATACGGCTTGTCCTCCAAACCTTTAAATTAATGCATTTCTCAACTGTTTGATTTTAGGTTGGATTTCTTCAGAAGAGGATTCTATAATCCTCACACTTTTGTTCAGAGGTATAATCTAACTGGTCCAGTAGCCGTTAACTACTTGATCGGCCTGTGGGAAAACGAAATCCATCAAGCAGGTTCGATTTACCAATAGCTAAGAATTATGTCAATGTAAAAACTGTATAGCCGTGTCAGAGGACTTTATTTTGTAATACGTAATTTTATAACAAAGTTTTTTTCCAAATTAAAGGCACTTAAAGCAGTTTGATTTTGACTCAGAAAATTGTTACTCTTTCCAGTCCTACTTTCCAGTCAGTACTTTTCCAGTCATTCTTCTTATTTATATCCTTTCCTTCTTCCTTATTGTTGAATGCAGCTCTAATTTATCACTTGAGCAGATCTTCATTGATAGTCGTTTTAAAAGGAGTGTCTCTGAAAACAAATATTTGAGTTGTTGAATTTTTAGTGCATAATTGTGCTGCAGCCATACTATATCGATAATTTCAGTTTTGAAACGTATTTCTACTGGCGTAATGAAAAATGTGAACATAGTACAACATAAATATACTACTAATCGGCTGTTTTTTTACGTACCTCAGTAAAATATATCTCCTCTTATTGACGTTGTTCATTGGATTAAAAGCATTACTTGCTATTGTAGTACTAACTCCGGAAATACGAGAAGAATGACTAAAATCAGAAATAATACCAGATGTCATACTCCGACCCCCTCAAAATGTAGTGCAGGTGAGAGAATTTATTTTATTCAATTAATTGGTGCAAGAAGAATAAATAGCTTAGTTAGTGGCTAGGGTCGAGACAAATTTCCCGTCTGATTATTATCTTTGTTGGAAAGTTGTTAGTAAGTAAGGGAAGCAGTGAAGCACTGCCTATTTTATTTTCATTCAATAGACAGAAAAAAGGTAATAATTGCCAGAGTGCTGATAATTTGAAGAGAATTTTGAAAAGAAAGAAGAAAATTTGGAGTCAAATTGTTAAACATAAACCGAAATGTTAGTTATTTTCGCCTGAACTAGTCTCCGAGAATACCAAGAGAAGGGAAAGGGGAATCGAAAAATTGAGCTCTGGAGCCCTCTTTTCCTTCTCAATGTGTAAAATCATTGGTCTCATAAAAATGACGGTGCCTAAAAGCGCAAATCCCAAAAGAGAGAAATACATAGCCCAATAACAAGAGAGATATAAAAGAGATATAAAAGTTGTAAAAGATAACCCAATAAAAGAGAGTGGGAATATCGAGACGCCCAAAAATCTCAAATCCCTAAATATAAACATAATTATAACAAAAACATAATTTTTGATGACGCGTTAACCGGGGTTTTAGATGAGAGACTTCAGGCCTTCCTCGAGGATTGTCCATTGACAATTTCGCAATTAAACGTCAAAAGTAATATTTCCAAAAGGAGAATAAAATCCAAACAATGGATGATTTATTATTTTAGGTTAAAGAAAATTACAAATTTTGCTTAGATGTTTACATGTTTTGCGATTTTGAAGAC